CCTATAGGTATGCTTCCTGCTGCTCCTGCTGCTGCGGCTGCTGCTGCTGCTGCTGCTGCTGCTGCTGCTGCTCCTGCTACTGCTACTGCTACTGCTACTGCTACTACTACTACTACTACTACTGCTGCTACCATTATTACTACTATTGCTATTACTACTACTACTATTATTATTATTGCTGCTACTACTACTACTACTACTTCTACTCCTACTACTTGTACTAGTACTACTACTAGTACTAGTACAACGACGACAACAACTACTACATAGTATTGGCACCTACGCTATGACCACGACTACATGCAGTCGTCCTTCACCTACTACTACCACCGCCGAGCGAGATCTTGGAGCTCTGGTCCGAAAAAGGGTCGGGTGGTTTCAGGAAGATTCTGCTAGGGAGTCTAAAAGAAGATCCCTCGCTGAGGCTCTTGGGATTAGACCTGCCAGAGAATGATTTTTCCTAGATCTTTTTAAAATCTTCCTCCCGGCGTAAGCCTTGCCGGGAACGACCTTCCTGAAATCTTCCTCCCGGCCTTTGTTGGGTAAGCCCTGCCGGGACAATCTTTCTAAAACCGTCCGAAACTCTTTCTCCCCTAAGGCCACTCCAGAATATTGTCCTCGGCGAGGCTTACCCAGAGGCAGGTTAGGAAGATTTTGGGAGTTGGCTCTGGGTAAGCCTCCCCGGGGACAGTCTTCCTAAATCTTCCTCCAAATCATCCTCCAAGTTATCCTCCCCGAGGAAATTTGCCTGAAAATCATCCTCCAAGTTATCCCCAGGGCCCTTGCCCGAAAGCCTTCCCCCAAGTTATCTTCTGCCGTAAAATCTGCCTCGAAGATGTCCTCCCAACAAGTCTCCACAAAAACGCTATGGCTTTGCATCCCACTCAACGTTTCTGCACGGCTTGGGCTCTATCCTGAGCCAATCTTGTGTACCGACCCCACTCAGTAACAGTTGAATACCAAGCATGAAGCGCAAGGAGCTAAGCCCATCCTATGATTATTACCCTCCAATACAAACGGTTGGGTGGGTTTAGTAGCCCAAGATTATCTCGCGGCTGCACCTTGGCTCTGTGAAGAGCTGCGCCGCTGTAGGATTTATGTTTCTAACTGAGGGTCTTGATATTTGGGACTTTAAAGTTTAGAGTTTCAGGGCTGAGAATTGATGGATGAAGGGTTAGGTGAGTTATGGTAGGGTGTTTTTGATGTACGAAATGCGAGGATGATGCTTGTCTGCTAAGTTAGCCGTAAAAACAGGCATGCGTTGAGTATAACTTTGAGGAAGATTTTATGAAGATGTTGCTGATGGGGTTCTTGGGTTGTTCGTGTATTTAAGAGTAATTGTTTCATTGACTTCCAATGTGTGGCTGCCCGACAATCTCTCAACATCAAACCAGCTTTTGAGATTTCTCTGTGAGAAGAAACCTGTCAGTTCCGAAAGTTCCTAAAGCGTCGCACGTGAATCCCTGTACAGAACCTGTGCTAGCTCTGGGGCTGTTCCTGGGGTTTGGGGCCAACACCTTGAAGATGCAGTTGCAAGACAGACTGCAACACTGAGTCGAATGGTCTCTCCTCAAAGAAACGGCTTTGACAGGGCAGGCAGGGCATACCGGAAGTGTTGTAAATTACAAAGCTGCAGGACCAAGTCGGCATTGCGCAAGCATTACGCGCCTTGGCCTAGAAAGTGGATACTTTTGGCAGACGATATGTGGCAGTTGCACGACGTTTGAAGGTTTTCACAGTCTTTTCGGCTTCCAACCTGCTGAGACTCTGATGGCAGAGTGCTTCTTAGGGCTGGACATTTCCCATGTTTGCATGGCATTTCACCAACAGCACAGCCATATGACATGTTATGTAGCGTTCGCAGATTTTTGCAGTCCTGGCCGGTGCTTATGAATGAGGCCCACTGCTCCTTGCCCAGCTGGAGCATGGCGAGCTGAAGCCAGATGAAGCCTTGACCAAGGTGAAGGCACCACCTGTGGGACTCTAACAGGCTCCCAACATCTCTCTAACGCGAGATCATGTGAGATCTCTTTCATGGAAAGCGGATTCGAGCCTTCGCAGGAGGAGACGGCGAAGGTGGATCGGCGTGCCCGGGACGCCCGCCGCGCCGAGGCGAAGAGTGAGCCAGACAAGCAGACACTCTAATTTGACACTTCAGAGACGAATTCTACTTGTGTACCGGATGTGTCGAGCTAGGGATTAACACATTACACATGGCTTCTACCATGAGATTGTCTTTGCACGTGAGGCGTGTGAGGCCCAGTCTTTGTTTCTACCCTCAGCTGAATTCTCCAAGCAACCGTGATATGATTTGGAGACATCCACAACATCCGGTATGTTGGGGCTTCAAACTATGTTTTGGCTGAAGGCAGCTATGCAAGTTACGCTGGCTGCTATCCATCTGGCAAAGGCAAGGGGCAAGAGGAGAGGATTATCAGAAAATAGGAAGAAGAGACAGATGAGCGTAAGTTGAGTCTCACATCAGACGCACCTCGAATGGACCAGCCTCTCGAGTTGTTATACAGGAGTTCGTCTGGTTTTGACAACTACGAACCAGCGAACATGTCCTAGTCGCATCAGGGACATGCAACCTGTAGCTGCAGGTGGTAAGCCAACGGGCCGGGGTGGCTCAACACATTCTTTTGTTTCCACGGCCTGGAACACTTGAATATGTGGCAGTCCTTGCAAGGCACAACTGGCGACGGGTCTTGCACTAGGCAACTCCAGGGCCCACAAGAGAGGAAGGAAAGAGACACCATGTCTTCGAATCAGAAGCAAAGTAATTCGACTTCTTGGGGCATCATGGCACCGTACCTGGGCTGGCCCCAGAAGTGAGCATGAGCTTGAGAATGCCCTCATGAGAACAACATGAACATGCGTGAACACGCACGTGGGACATTAATGAACCTGTTCAATTTCAAGTCAAGTACTGAGGTGCTCTGGACAGAGGGTACTGCACAGTGTCTGTCCGGGCATGTTCAACCAGGTCCTTGAACTTGGCTCCTTCGCATGGCAAGGCAGAACCAGTGAAGGCTGTGCAGACTGCGGCAGCAGCCGAAGCTTACTTCCAGCGTGAAGAGGTGGCACGGATCGTCTCTGTCTTCCCATTTGCCTGCCCAGCCCAACAGAGCATGGTGTTAACGATGGTGGGCGGAGGACTATCCTGCCTTGGCAGATGTGCTGCTGGAGGCAAGGTGCTGCACATCGTATCTCATCTAGAAGATGGATGATTGGGGATTGTAATGTTGTACAAGTCCTGGACAAGTAAGCATACAGAGCCGAGCATCCCAGCGCAAACGGTATCACTTTCATTGAGTCCAATTTTGCTCTTGAAGGGCTTGCAGTCTGGGTTGAGCTGGGTTTGCAGCATGTTGGGGTTACTGAAGAGTGGTCTGAGCGATTAGAGTTGTTTTGCTGGCGGCGAGGGCGAGCTTTGTTTGTTGGCATTTCGAGTCAATCATGTCATCTGGAGGTTGTGGCGCCCGCGCACCTCCAACGCGGAGATGGCCAAAAGGCCCAGCTGGAGCAGATGAGCGTTTGGCTTCAGTGCCTTTAGTAGCAGTTACTCCGAGGCCATGGATGCTGGTAGCCTCATCCTTGATGTGGCTCAGAAAGTCAAGGATCCCGAGGCGACTGGCGGCTTGCGGCTGGTGAGATTCATGCAACGCCTTTGCCAAACAGGTCGAGGCTCGCGCTTGGGGCATTGTGGCTGCTGGTCGTTTTGCAGCGGCAGCAGAGGATGCCTCAGAGGCCTCTTGAAGCTGCGAAGCTGCGAAGCCCGCCAATTTGGCCTTTCAGGCAGCTTATCCTTGTCAGGCAGCCCGAAAAGCCCTGGATCTCTTCCGCAATCTTGGCAGCCGCGTGGGTGAAGCTCAAATGTGGGCGGCTTACAAGAGTGGATCATCTGCCAGACCAAAGGGATTTCCTATTCAGGAAATTATTTTGATCAGATAAAATGCAGTCCTCGTGGCCTTTCATCAAGAAAGTTCAAAGTTGGAAGTTGAAAATCAGTGCCAAAGCAGGTCTGCTAGATGTGGTTGCTGTCAAGGAGTCATGTTTCTTGCCCGGCAGGGATGCTCCAAGAGTTCGTGACAACCCTTGTCCTTTGGACAAAGCCAGAGTGTGAGCACTGCTCTTCCCGGGGAAATCCCTTCCACCAAACTGCTCCTCTCGTCGTTGCATCACTACATATCATTGCTGACTTCAGTATCTCATTCTCTGGAGTTGGGAGGCTTGGGGAACCCATGGCTTCGAGCCTCCAGAAGGTTTTTTTCCCTAAGCCTCAGATAGATACCCTTTTTCGTGGTCGTTGGGGTGGGGAGAGGTGCTCACCACACCGTCCACCACCCCCCCCACTCCCCCCTGACGACCCTCTCCCCCTGCCCCCCTGTCTCAGGTTCGAGCGAATTTAAGTATGGGGATTCTTCCTCAAGTTAGAGATGCTCAGCTTCCTCTTAAAACTGAATGGAGATGGTCGGATTCCTGCAATTGGATAGAAATGGTCAGGTTTCAATGAAATTGAAAGGGATTCCTCTTAAGATTGAATATAATAGAAGTGGTTAAATTTTTCTTAAGACTGAATAGAAGTTCTTAGAATTTTCTTAAAATTGACAAAAAGTGCTTCTTAACACTGAATAGAATCAGAAATGGTCGGATTCCTTGAAAGTTGAATACATGCTGTCAGATTCTTCATAGAATTGAACATATTAAGTAGAAGTGGTCAGATTCCTCTTATATTTGAATAGAGATGGTCAGATGCATTTAAACTGCACCATTGGGGGCGGGGTTGTCAGGGGAGGGAAGGTTCTTAGGGGTGTTGAGGAGGCGGGGCAGGGCCACCCCCCCTCCCCCCGCATCACGCCAACAACCACGAAATGTATAGCCCTCCCACTCCAAGCCGCAAAGCCTGGACCCTGACTTTCAAACTCTAACAGGCTGATCGAGCTGGCCCGCGGTCAGCTTTCGCGGCAGGAGAGTTCAGGGTTTGCTCACAATGCTCTGGGTTGCCTCGCCAGCCTGGCAGCTACTGAACCAGATTGTTTTTTCTACATCTACGTGGATGTGACAATTTTTTTGCTGGGGTTCTGTCCCGGAACTGCAAGGACTCCTTGGCAGCCCTCGCGTCGGCCAGGGAGGTGCTGCAGCATGCGTTGTATGTGCCACCTTGCTATCCAGGGTTGAACACCGGGAGGCACTTAAGGTGGCCCGAGAGGCTGGTAGCTGGGCACAGGCCAGCACAAATCTGGTTCTGCGAGCCTGATGTATACACCCGGTATCTGCATGTGTGCACTTGCAAGTGCAAGGAGTGCGCACTGATTCTGAACTGCTCCAGGCCGGCAAGGCGACTGAGGCCATCGTAGAAGCGGGGCTCCCTGTGATCAGCTTTGGGAGGACCAGCCTAGCACTGCCAGCAAAATGTAAGAAGTATGGTAGCTGAAAATGCAGAAGAGGTTCGGCTTCAGTTTTTCGACTGTTAGATCTGAAGCTCAGGCCCATCTGCAAGCCAGCAAGCCACAAGCTGCACACGAAGAGGCCAGTCCCCTGGCGGTTTCTTTCTCTCAGCGTGTCCACGCATGTACTCGTAGAACCACTTTTGCATTGTCTCTTGCCACAGGCTGGGGAGCAGCTCAAGTTCATCCCTCAGAAGTTAATAAAGTTCAGGGACGGTCATTTGTCCTGCCAGGAAGTCGAGATCATTCACCTAGTTCACGTTTTTTCAGTGTAGCTTCCGGAGAAGGTTTGATCGTCAAAGCCCGAAGGATTTTTGAGTCCACTGCCCCCTGCCCTCACTGGGACTTTCAGCATCCAGCATTACTCGTGCCATACTAGCAGATTTTTCTGTGAGAGGGCATTGCGAATCAAAGTAGATGACGCTGCCAGGCCCGTTGTCAAGTTGAGAAACTGCGTAGTTGATGGAACGAACAACCCAAAGCCTTTTCATGCCTGTGCACTGACAATTTCGGAGTCTCCCAAAGCATAGTTGCATGCTGTTGGATGGCTTTCCTGTCAACTCCAGCTAAGTGCAGCGATCTTACACGAGATCCCATCTCAAGTGCTGCGCTTCGGTGCCACTCAGGTGGATGAGCGAGGTTGCACCAGACGACAGCAGCAAAAAGGCCATTGAATCAGCGACAGCACACCATTGAGAATAGACTGAGCGCAGTCTAGAGTGTAACCCACGTTGCATTCTCTGCTGCCCCAAAAGCAGGCCATGACATTCTCACAGCTGCAGCTACCCTTGCAGTCCAGATCCGACGATAAGCTTGACAGGGCTTAGCCTCCGCGATGTCTGCCCTGGTCGTGGCCACGTCTGTGCTTAGAGGCGTGACTGTGATTTGCTTCGTGAGTTCATCGCTGCCAATCACGTGCAAATCAATTCAGTACCTGCGACATTACATCAACTTTTGAGATTCAGCGACCCCGAATGCTGCTAATTGGGGTTTCGTGCCTTTTGGTGCTGCGGGGGCTCTTTTTGTTCCAAGATGTTTCAAGCATTTCAAGCTTGTCAAAGACTGTTTCAATGCAGTGTTCTTTAAGACTCGCAGCCACGTCTCCTTGACGCCAAAGTGAGATAAGGACCACGAAGACCAAGAAACGAACCTGCCACGTACCGACCCCGTGAAATCTCGTTTGAGGAGGAGATGCAGGGCTGGAGCTTGTTAAAAGCTATGCCGGCTTCTCAGTGTAGCTATATCCTGTTGTGGGCCTGTCGCTGTGTTTGACGCATGACATCCTGATGGCTCAATCCGAGAAATCCACCCGGCTGTGGTGTAGGGTCCGGGTTTTGGATCATGGCCGGCCATTTAATACGGCAGGGTGGAAGACGAGGCTCTGCTAGATGCTGCCAGCTTCTGCCTCTTCCATCCAGTGTAATGTGCACATGCACGGATGCCAAATGTTTCATGAGTAGTTCTTTCGGACTCTTACCTTGGAAGGTGAAACCAGGATGGCCAAACGCAGAATTTTCCGACACTGCAAGGCGGGCAATGCGTCCTGCTTTTCCTTAGACTTCAGGTCTCCATCTCCCTAAGCTAGCCTGGAGGCGAAAGAGTAGAAGGACATAGAATGACGGAGGCTCATAACGACAAGCACACCTCTTTGGATGCTAATCTCGGGGAGGTCTTAGCCTTTGCGACGGTCATATGCGCTTCTGCGACGGCTTTCGTGCATGGGAGCTCCATGCCCAGAAGATTCGAGCAGGCCGCAGGGACGTGAATGAGATGTCAAGGTCGCACCTCGTACCCTCGGCACATCTTGGTGCCAGTAGTCAGTCCTCGTCAGCCAAGTCATGTGAAGGTCCAATGAGCTCTTGTGGTCTGGGTGCTTTTAGCTGACCATAATGGAAAACCATGTTTCAGCGTTAAGAGCGAGGGTGTGTGCTTGGAGGGGGTCCACCCTAGCAAGCGCTAAATGACATTAAAAGGCCACATGCAATCCTTGACCCATTCGTGAGCGTCCGTGTATCCTGTGCTTTGCGCTTAAGGGCACAGACTTCCCGACCATCCTTCCCCTCCTCTGAGACAAGGCACCAGCAAAAAGTCAATGAGACTCTGTCACTGCAGTTTTTGGGGGGGTTTTCAGAGCCGTAAGAGGAGCATTAGGAGAGGCTGAGGGTGTCCAAATCTGGGCCGCTTTGCTTGCCAACCCATTGCTGAATCCTTTGAACAGAGCTGGTTGAGTTGTGGAGGCGCACGGGCGCCAGCTCCGGTTTCAGACTGCTTTGGCAGCCTACAGCACCTTGAAGGTGGGCAAAAGCAGACAAACTGTTCAAGCCTGCGAAGGGTTTGGGGCCTCATGCGTCTTGTCGGAGTTTGGGTGCTTTTGGGTGTGTTATGCAGCCGGACTCATGAATGCGCTCTTTATCTACCCACAGATAGTTGATGGGTGAGATCCTCACCAAGGTTTGTGGCCTGAACCCTTTGCTGAACATACATTCCACACTCGAGTTTCACCGAAGCAACATTTTCTAAGCCAGCTCTGGACTTAATTGCGCGTCCCTTTTAGGTGGTGGACCTCAAAGCGCTGCTGTCTGAACGCGGACTCAAAGTCAGCGGCAAGAAGGTGGCTTCATATCTTGTCGCGAGTCACAGTCGAATCTTGCTCTTAGCAAGTCTGCCTTACAGTATTCGCGGGTCACGCTGTCATGCCAATCCGCCCTTGAGGTTCAGTCTATGCAGTAACGTCACTAAGAACAGGCTTTCGGGCCTGTCTTGGGCACATGCCTGCGGGAGGTTGTGCATCAGAGCCTAAGCTAGAACGGGACTTGATTCGGAAATGCATCAAAGCGGAGTTGTTGCAGGCAGAGTTGATAGAGCGCCTGGAGGAGCACGATGCGCAGGACCCACTTCCTTATACTCGTTTATAGCGTCAGCACGTAGCAAGCCATACCTCCGCTCGTAGTCCCAGACCCTGTCGGAAGAACAAGCTGCAAAGAAGCAACCTTCAGGCCAAAGAGGCACAGGAAGAGGAGGCTGAAGAGGAGGAAGCGGAGGAAGAGGAGGAAGAGGACGATTGCCTTGCTTGAGTTGCTCCAGATGTGTTTTTCTGATGGATGATATTTAACGCAGCTCCGACAGAAAGCAATCACATCATCACACATCCCATTTAGTCTACGGGGATCCATGGGCGCACAGTGTACGGCAGCATTGGCCACAGGCCTGACATTAGCCCAGCAAGGATGCCCCAAGCGTGCCCTCCCTGCTCCTTGCCTCAGGGATTTCAGAAGCAAAGCTTGCGAAAGTTCTAGACGAGGATTCCTCACAACAACAAAAACAAAGCAGGCAAACTATATGCATGGGAAGGCTTCCTGTCATCCGGACCTTTCCGAAAACTCTTCATGTCAAGTGACTGAGTTCCCTGACTAATATCGGGCCTGGTGGCAAGTGCCGGCCTGGCCGCCGCCCCCTGCCCATCCAGCCATCACGTGAAAGCCGAGCGGCCCCAGCCCTGCTTGCTGATCGGGAGAAATCTACGAAAAAAGGATTTTCTTGCTTCCTGGGAAGTTTTTTTAGGTTTGGAGGGTCTTATTCTGCCTATTTTATAGGTTTGGTCTGGGCAATGCATGCATTCTTTTCATGCAGTGCAGGTGCTACCAACACTGTGAATCACTGTGGTATTTACAACCACAAGCACTGCCCACAGCAAGTATTTTAAGGTCGCAGCAGCCCCCCAAGAGCCAGCAGGGCCCCCGATTTGCTTCGCCGCCACATATATGAGGTTCCAACACCCCTCCACAACCCTAGGTTCTGTTGAAGTGTCCAAGAGTGAGAAACGAAGGCCCAACTGTGCTGATGATGCGTGCCCGCAAAAAAAACAAAAAAAACAGAAAACACATCTTCCGTAGCAAGTGGGAAAGCCTCACAAATGCGTCGAGAAACCACCTCGATGTTGACACCTCCCACAAAACACGCTTCAAGGGCTTCCAAGAATGGGGTGTTTCGGTGCGGGCGTCACCCCCTAAAGCATAGCTTTAGCAAGGCATGCATCTGCACTGGACCACGACCGCCAGGCCGGACTTCAAGAGCCTCCGGCTAAGTGTGACCCAGATGCGGAGAATTGGGAAGGCAATGACGGTGTGAAACCTAAACCCTAAACACCATAAACCCTGAGAGAAGCTCAAGCCAGGCTGCCGGGACTTGCCAGACCCTGGGCGCCCGCTGCTTGGTGTGTATGATGCTGTTGCTAAGGTGCTGCGCACGGGTGCAAGACGTATCCAGGCCTTGACGAGCACCTGTGGTCTGGGCCAGGGCACGGCTCCCAAGACCTTTGGGGGTGGGCCCCAAAATCACGAAAAACACAGATTCTGCGTGGCTTTCTTTTTACCCCCAAAGCTTCTTCAAAGCTCCTAGGTCCATCAGCGTATGCAACCCGCGACCCCGAAGCCCCGCCAGAATCCCCCAGACCTATGAGTTCAAGCATCTTGCAGCCCATGCTAGCGGCTAGCGGGGGGGGGTTGCGGCGACCAATTTCCACGCCCGGACCTGCCGTTGCTAGTGGCTAGGCACGATATCAATCTGCGCAACAAGAGTAGTTCAAGCCAGGATCCAAATCGGCGCAACAAAGTTATGTGACTCCGCAGGACCTTGGACGCCTGTGCAGTCTTTGCAGGCGTGTCCAGGCCTTGACAGGAGCTTGGCTTGGGGTCGGAACCGGCGCCTTGGGGCCTGAGCCCCTAGCCTTGCTCGTTGCATCATTGGGCCCTTCTTCCACGTGAAAAAAATCTACGAGGATTCTTGTGAATGGCGTGGCGGATGTGGAGACTCCCTGCGAAATGCAGTGCAGCCGGGATAACCCCCCTACCTCCTCCCCCCCATAAGCAAGACACGGATTTCATACTTGTCCTACCCAGTCTTACCAACCGAATCCGTTCCAAAGCAGCTCTTTACATCAAGTCTTCTCGGTGACTATAGCTGCTTGTGGGGAAGGAGACGCCAAAGCGAAGCTCATCGTCTGGAAGCTCGACGTCTAGAAGCTCAGCGTCCGAATCTGCAGACTACAAGGCCGTGCAAGTCAGTTTTGAGTTGCCTACCCGTGCAGATTCTGCTAGGCTGGAAAGTTGGCCTTAGCTTTGTTTCATGATGATGGCAAATATTATACCGCCTCTTGGTCGCCAGTCCCAGCTTGATGTTGCAGCGGAAGAATGCCGCGCACAAAAAAGGTTCGAATTGTCAAAGACAATGGCGACGACACCTTTGATGTTGAGTGGTGTGAGGATGATGCAGAAGCTACAGTGGACTTGGCTGACCTGAAGCGACTTGCCTGCAACAACCTGTGCATCTCTAGCGCCCGGAACACCCGCTAGGATTTGTTGGTCAAGACGACAGAACCCCAAGCACGTAAGAAAGCATGCTCATGGTATCCCATGGTCGCCATTTACAGGATTTTTGGTTATTTTTGTGTTCTGATCAATTTACGCTGCTGTTGCTTGACATGGCACCGGACATGGAGGCCCAACCCCAAGAACTTCAAGAAGGGCGACCTTGTTGTTGCAAAATGCAACGAAGATGGGAAGCGTTACACTGCAATTGTTCAGGAGAATGCTGGCAAAGGCACCGTCACGGTGCAGTACGTGGAAGATGAGACAGAAGAGGATGTGCTTTTAGATAACATGTGGCTGCAGAAGAAGAAGTTCAAGAAGGGCCAGAAGGTGGAAGCACAGTTCCCAGACGACGGGGAGTGGTATTCAGCCACCGTCAAGGAGATGGTGAGTTCTGGAAAGTATCTCGTGGAGTACCTTGGGCCAGCAAGCAGCCAAGCTACTTGTAAGGCTGGAGAGCGGCGCCAGTAAATTAGCGCGATATTAGTGCTGCCCATGCAGCACCTTTTCCGGCTAAGCCTTAACTCTAGCAGCAAAGTTGCCTACAGATGCAACCACCTTTACATTTCCTCAGGTGGGAAGATCCAGATGGAGGCGATCCGGAAAGTGAGCTGGTCCTGGACCACATTCAGATACCCAGGCTCGCATCCCCTGCGCGTCCTGCAAAGCATATGAAAGGTCTGAAGGGTAAAGCTTTCAGTGATTGAAGTTTGCTGCAGCTGCAGGTGCAATGATTCCTGGCATTCCTTCAAGTTTCGTTTTGATGGACATCATCCTTATGAGGGCAGAAGGAAATCTTCTCAGACTCATAGACTCACATATTCAATGTATTTAGTTCTGGTTCTTTGTATGCCCAGCTTGAGTAGGCTTTTGCAAGCCCTCTGATTGAATAATGATCTGAGATTTGTGAGCGCACGGGTGTGGAGCATGCTCAAGTCATCGCAGCACTCGACCTGCAAGAAGTCTGATGCGATCAACGTAGTTGGTGCCAGTTGCTAGTCACGAACGCTCCAAGGCGTTGCAGCTTGTTGCTGTGCCCATACACTTCATTTTTCTAGGACAGTCGGGGGGGGGGCGGATTGTCCAAAGTGGACGTACCGACTAGATGTCCCATCAAGCTTGAGTTTCTTCTTCGCGTTGTCAGGGGTTGTCTCAAACTTACAGGCTGTGTTTTCGGGCTGGCTGAACAAGACAGAAGAGTCATGAAGAGTCGCACAAGTCAGCCCGTGACTAGGTTTGCCATGGACACCCTGGAAGTGGGACAGAAGCTCAAGGGAACGGTGAAGCGAGTTCTGGACTTTGGAGCCTTTGTTGACGTAGGTGAAGGCCTTGGCCATTTGTTGCTCTGAGTGTCCCTGCGGAGAGAGAAGGGTGGAGCTTAGGTTGCTACACGGATGGGTTGGTGCATGTCTCGAAGATTGCCCATGAGCGAGTCGAAGACATTCATGATTATGTGGAGGAGGATCAGGAGATCGATGTTTGGGTGTCGTGCTCGATTATTGATAGTCCAGGATCTCCCTGCACGAAGCGTGGTTGAAGCTTTTATCGTTATCGGATGTTATCGGGATGTTTTGGAGCATGAGGGCTTTCAGCTTCCACATGAATGTCCTTCGTTTGTGTTTGTGCCGTACCCAGCTTGTATGCTGGCCAGCTTCTTTGCATCACTAAGGTGGCAGGCCTAGATCCTGAGAACAACAGGATGGGCTTGACAATGGTGGAAGCTTGGCTCCTCTTGGATGGCAAGACGATGTAGCATTCACTTCAATTTAATGAGGTTTTCTCCTTAGCAACAGGGCACCAGGCGCCCGCAACAGCTCCCATGATCTGGGGATTGTTTTTTGGGATATGGGCTGGATTCTGCTGAGACTCCCCAAATCAAAGCACGCTAAAGAGAATCTTCCAACAATGTCCTGAAACTCTTTAAGCCGCCGTCGGCACACATTAAAGAGGGTCTTGACGCTGAAGTGTGTGCTACAAGAATCTCTGGGACGCAAAGCAGGGAAAAAGATGTAACCCAAACCGGGGGCAAGCAAGGAGCTTCTTTGGTTGCAAATGAATTTCTGCCCAGGAAGGCAAGACTGACTCTCGGAGGCGGCCGAAAGAGGCGCGGCAGGATGAGGAAGCAAGGTGCCCGCAGAATGAACGTCTTGACCAGGTGACCAATCCGATAGAGAGCCTGAATGCCCTGCCGTTAGCTCGCCTTGCAGCTGTCCATCAGTACATGGACAAGAGCTCCTAGGTTGGCGATGAATTCGAAGGTACTGTGGAGTCCGTCAGGCTTGGGACGCTACTCTAAGCTTTCCACAGGGCGTCTTTCCATGCTGCAATTGTATTCGGGCTGTACGTTCCGACACCAGCGCTGCCTTTGAGTGCCGGGGACCTGTCACGAAAGCTAGCCTCCCGGGTCTAGCTTGAGCTTCTTATCAAGCGTTGGCTTGCAACAAGGGATGTGGGGGGGACCCCTGGTGCGTGGTTGGGGGGGTCGTTTTCCGACCCTTAAGAACACGTGAAGAACATCGTATCCGACCGTGAAAGAATACGTAAAGAACATCTTTTTTTTGCTCAAAAGAACCGATAACAGGGTGTGAGGCAACATGCCACAAGCGCTCACAGGCAAAAGAATTGTTTGTCGACCCATCGCATGAAACCTGGACAAAGTTCGTTCAAGCTTCCTGGCCTTCGTCCCAGCCCCCTTGTGATGCCCTTGTGTTTGAGCATACCTACATACTGTATCTAGTATTGCAGACTATTGGAGAGCTCTAGATCAGATAGTGTAGGTAAAGTCAATGCCAATGCTATACGCACCTACATTAACTATGCACGCTATTTGAGTGACACACATTTTGGCATCAATCACGAAGTTGTGTCCTGTCGTCTTCCTCATTGCCGATAGTGAGAAAGGAGAGTGCGCATCCGCATTCTGCCAGTTAGATCCTGTTCTAGCTTTGTTCCAGTCTCTCTCCCCCAAGTTTTGTTGTTGTGATGCAACAGCAGCCAGGCTCGAGCTGCAGATTCCAATGCTCCGGTGTGTGTGAGTGTGTGTCTGGGTGGGCTAGGGAAGGGGTAGGGGTAGGAGCAAGGGGCAACAGGGTTCTCCTGTAGGAACCTCTTGACATCTCGCAGCAGGGGCAGAAATGAATTATGCGAGTAGGCAGACCAGTCAAGAAGCTTCTTGGACTTCAGCAGCAATTTGACGAAGCAGCTTACCCTGGTGATGGCTTGCCAGGGAATTTGGTGCCTTCGTTGACATAGGGGCTGAGCGAGCCGGGCTGGTGCACATCTCGCGCCTTGCAGATGGATTTGCATCGCCCCAAGACACGATTTCTTTCTTGACTACCAGGTTGCCAGTGCCTCACCGCAAGACACCTAGGTCGACAACCCACATGACCACGTGTCCGAAGGTCAAAAGGCATCTTGGGGAGCTACTGCAGCCTTGGATCTCCATATTGAGCTCGTAGCAGTCCAACCTTAGATATCATTGCTGCCGAGGGCGCGCTGTTTTGCATGCGGTATGTCTGCGATGCTTCTGGCAGGTCTCTGTGTGGGTATCAGCCATTGATGGTGACAGGATTGGATTGTCCATGACGAGGAGCTCTGGGCTAAGAGCCGCTTCAAATGTTGCTTCTGTCATGTTTTTTGTCCAGCTTACATTCGCAGAATCAAGTTTGGACAGAGGACTCGGAAAAGAGCTTCCAAGCCATGTTCAGCAAGTTACTAGGCCCCAGCTTAAAGATACATACCGTATACGTAGGTTACAGCCGTCCCAGCTCCTTGCCCGTCAGAATTCACATTTGCCCTTTCAGGAGCTAGACCCTCCAGGTCAGATGGCTCTTGCAGGAAAAAAGTGCTTGCTCTGCATTCCCTCTTGCTCTTTTTGTTTCGGATAAGCACTTGACGATTTTCGGTTTTGCGCGCTTGCCTGTCACTGTCTGCAGCATGCAGAACCCTAAATTAGGCATAGACAGATGCCCATCTCAGAGGCACTAGCATAGGCCAAGACAAGTTAAGTGTAGTCCAGATCGTTTAAGCCCCACAGCCTGGAGAGCAACACAGTGGCAGTTTGAAAGGTCGAGAAGCTGCGGGCGGATGGCAACAAGCGCGGCGAGGTCGCGCGGACTGGGCTTACTGGGCTTGAAGGAATTGTGGATGGAGGTTGCCATAAGCTGAAGCTGTGCCAGGTTTTTGTTCAAGGAGTGCTAATGCATGCTGCTGGCTTCGGTTTCACAATCGAAGTGCTTTGCTTCCTTGTACAGCGCGCTCTTCAATATCCAAGCACTGATGTTGTGCACACCTACGATCTCAAGTGCAGGAAGTTGTGTTCATCATGTCAATCCATGTTCATCCTATAGGTTTCAGATGTCAAAAAAAGCATCCGGAATTTCTAGAGGTTTTGCATCGCCAGCCCGTTCTTGAATGATCGCAATTGAAGTCGCAAGGGACGCCCGGGCAGCTGCAGACGCAGTAAGAGCTTCTTGTCTCGCTTGACCATGCCAGGTGCTCATGCTGCACAAGCTGGCTACCATGTCCCTCAGCTGCGAGGGACAAGTTTGTCAGTGAGAGTTGTATTCATCCAGCTGGCTTTCCCAACAGTTGTCAGCAACATTTAGTCCATGTGTGCCTACAGCTGAGGTCTCCTTATCCGGATTACGCTCTCAACACTGCCCAGGTTTGGGACTGAGAAAGCCGCATGAAGCATTCATCGGGCGTGCTGGCAAGGCCGCGCTGAAGTTGGCACAGAAGGAGGGCTTGGCAATGGAGGAAAAGGTGGCGTTCCGCGAGCCATGTGGAGCAGCGAGTAGCCCGCCTTAGCTCTTCTTGAGGCTCTCAAGCGAACTCTGACACAGCTTTATGCGGCGAAAGGAAAAATTGACAAGGCAAGCGGCTAAGCACATCTATTTCGAGCACAGCATGCTGAAGAAAAGGTTTCGCTAACAAATTGAGGGCTTTGAAGTGTTGATGTCCTCAACACTGGGGAAATGAGGCGCCCAATCGACGAGAAGCGCTGTACCTTGACCAGAAATGTGACAGAACCAACATGGTGAGACCTTGCAAAGGGAGTTCCTGATTGCCTTTTGATAGATTCAACAGAGTTGCTGGCGATCAGTTCATTCATGAAAGGGTTCAGCCATTTTCTTGAGAGGCTCTTGCTACAGGACCTGGCGCAAGAGCTGGAAAAGAAGGTGCGTCTTTGTTTCTCACAATGCCACATATCAGCTCAATCAAGTAAAGTGGCAGACAAGACAAGATATGTGAGAAGGTTTAGAGATTTGCAGCCAGGACGGGGACAAGTTTGACGATGCCAACAAGAACCTTGAGGGCTTCTGGATGGCCCTCAAGCAGAGCGATGTCGATGCAAAAGACTCAGATGCTTCTTAGTTCTCTACTGCAGAATCTTCATGTATGCGATTGAGGCTGCTATGCAAAAGGTAATCTCTCGGGATCCAGCTGCGTATCTCCAATTTCTGAAGGAGCATGGCCAGGGCCTTGCTTAGAGCTGGTAGCCCCTTCCCCCTGCTGTTGCAAACAAGGGGCCAGCGTGGCAGTACCCGGCCAGAAAGCGTCTCCACCTCCTGGTGCTGATGTTCAGGCTCCGGCTTCATGTCTGGGTCTGGGCGTCCGAAGCGATTGTTTCTGGCAGGGCCTGGGGCTGCAGAATAAGCTCCTGTGCAGAGCTCAGGTGTAAGGCACCGCAAGGTGAGATGTAAGGGTGACAAGTTTTAGGGGCCCAGGACAGGTCCGAAGCCCTACCTTTACCTGAATTTCAGAGCCAAAGCCTCAGCATCGAGCATCTCTCAGAGCCATCGAAGGCGTTTCGATTCAAACCGTTTATCTCCCGCAGGTGGGTGGCATCAGCTATGGCCCGCGGTCACGAGCTCATTTGCCTAGCTGTGCTAGAGGCGGCGGTGCGAACTGCAGTGTCTGGTGAGTGAGGTATCGTTGCTGTGATCTTCCGATGGGTGTCGGAGACCAACCGGGCTCTGCCATCGGAGTCCTTTCCCTTCAGGATGCGCCATGCTGTAGAACATTGCAGTTGCAAGCTGTCATGCACATGGCTTCAGCCTTCATGTCGCAACAGCCTGTTGCAAGTTCTCACGCTCGTGAATGAAAGAATGCGGCATGAACAAAGGAATCGATGAATAAAAGAATGAATGGATGGATGGACGGACGGCAGGACGGACGAATGCCGGAATGAAAGAACGAAGGAACAAACGAGCGAACGAGCGAACGAATGAATGAATGGAATGAGTGAATGAGTGGATGAACATAGGAATGAACTAGCGAATTAAGAAATTTAACGAACTAATGAACAAATGAGTGAACGAATGATTTGCTACGCTGTGGACTGCTTGGCCTGGGCAAGCACAGCATCGTGTTTCCATGGCCACCTCATCCCTAAGTAGTGAGTTCGTCTGGGCTTGAGAGGTGCCTCGGGCCCGTGCTTCTCCTGTTCTTGACAATTGCTGTCATGCGCAAGCATGGCACCTTTGTTGGCCATCCATGCCAGACAGTGCTAGCTCCGCCAGCAATGGGTTTTGAGGGGGCCGCGCCACCCGTCCATCCCCCGAGTTTTTGAAACATGACACATGACCGGTATCAATCTTCTTCAACAATTGCCACATTTGTCAATGGCTTATGTGAGCCTTGCCAATGCCCTAAATGCTGTTCTAAATTTACAGTATCCTTAGCTTTCAAGTGCTGTTATTTGCAGTATGCGTAGCGTTTCAAGAGCTCCACAGGTTGGAATTCTAGTTCCAAAAGTATCTCTCACAGGGGGCGTCCCCGCGTTTTGCCTAGAAATCCTTGCATTTTGGATTGAATTTTGGTTCCAGATCGTGCTCTCATGTGGAGCGCCCTCGTATTTTCTCTCGAAATCACGCTGTCGCCTGGAGCGTCCTAGCATTTCGGCTCGGACCCGCGCTCCCTCGTGAAGCATGGTCACATTTTGGATACTCTCAGCAACAAATTGGAAATCACAAGATCCTGAACTAAGTTTACGTCCTGGAGCAGAGGATAGAAGTGCAGCGTAAGTAATCTTCAGACCAGCGCAAGCATGGTGTTTTGTGGCTTCTTGTGCTCGGAACACCCATGCCCAGCAACAAGCACATTATTGAGGTGTACTGGAGCTAATGAGTGCTAGTTTTTGTTGGCTTTGAGTTCAGTTGAAATACTGAGCATCAACTAGAAACGAACGAGCAACAAACATTAATGACAGCCCAGTAGGCTTGCCGTGGCTTGCTTGTGCCTTCAGGATGTCTCTGATGACTGGGAGCGCGAGCTGCAGTACAATCCATCCATTCTGGACGCGAGGGTTGCGTTTGAAGGTGCATGCTTTGTCTCGAAAGCTTGCAGATGAAGCTTAGAGAACGTGAACCGGGGTAGCAGTGCAGAGATATCAGGCTGGCAGGTTGCATCCGATGTGTCGACGCAGCGCCTAAACTACTTCTTGCCTGTAACAGTGCCGTAATGATGGGCAGGCCGCCGCGTGGCTCTGACTTGTGAAGTGTGAGGACTGTGCTCTCCAGAACGGCGCCGCGGGCATGTTCGTGGAGAACAGATTCTAAGACTGTCGCAACGGCCGTCACTGTCGTCACTGTTCTCTTTGCTGATTGCCATGTTCTTCCGTGGTACACGATCATGTTCACCAGAGCCTCGGCGCATCTTGGTGCTGTTGCTTTGTTCAGGGTCCCTCTGTATAGAGACATGCAATGCGCCTTCGCGCGTCCTGGTGGCAGACGCCCTCCGTGCTTGAACAAAAATATTGATGTCATATGATGTCATCTTGTGGTTGCAGTTAGAGCTATGGAAGGACAACAAAATGCAAGTGCTTTTCGCATTCCAGACCTTGGCTCTGAGACACGAACAAGACAGGCCTAGACATGAAGGAAAGAACCCCACCCAGCACTTGGATTTCCTGCCGTCAGCCAATATAATGTAACAGAAGCCTTTCGCTGAAAGCATGAGTATGGACATTCAGGCTCGAGAGCCTCCAAAGCAACCGTGCTGTTCCGGACTCACGCTGAGCCAGACTGCCGTGCAAGCCGCGGCCTGCAACCTTCAATACTTTCACCAAAAGAACCCACCATTTGGCAGCTTTCCTCGTCCCACCCCCAAGGCCCAAAGAGGTTCCTTGCCACGCGGGCGATGGACTGCCTCCGACCAGTGGCCTGATGCTTTGCAGGTTTGGGCCTGGCTGTACAGGGAAATGACTCTTGAGGCTCTTGGAGGATCTTGGAAGAGGAACTCAGCGGCTTAAAGCGTTTGGCATGAGCTTTCAGTATTTGAGCTATAGTGGACAGAAGGAGGCCTCATGATTGCAGCTTAAAACAGGGGAGCAGGAGCTCACAGTTTTGTGGTCGAGCTTGATTCTCGCAAGCCCGGGCCCAAGCCGTGTTGTTGTGCACAAGCAAGTACCTAGGGAGCCTGTCGTAAGGTTCGAAAGGACTAGTTTTGTTTTTGGACCACTGATGGACTCTCTAGAAGAAGGCCACGCGTTGACAGTGTCCGCTATGATGCTGAACTGAGACTCATGTGGGGTTTTGCTACTATGGCACAGCTGCATCTCAGCCGAGAAGCCCTCAGTTTTCCCCTGCCCGGAGCTTTACCTGAGCACGGCTCCATACCGAGCGACGTGCAGAACATGAATCATCTCAAGACCAACTTGTGTTGCCCAAGCTTCTATAACAAGAGCGGCAGATACGAGCAAATGCGGTTGCAGGGCCGGGGCCGATGGGCAACCGGGTGATGTGCGGCGCTCCACAGCACCTTTGGCGTGCTTGTTTCCTCTAGCTAATGAGCTGTGGAAGCTGTTGAGCTTTCCAGGACTGCATGACGGTTGCCATGTTCAGGTCCTGCGTGGACGAATGTGCGCGACTTCACTTCGAAACCAGGTTGGCTGCATAGACGCAGGGAAGGCAGTGGCAAAGGAAGGAGGTCCCACACAGCCATGATGCTTTGACTTGCTGGTGCTACTCTGTTTTTGGAGTGTGGGTATAGCAGGGAGACCGACGGCAGAACCTCTTTGGAAGGAGCCGCGAGGCAGATGAGCCGGAGTCGGGCCCCTGTTGTCCTGTTTAAAGTGGTTCCTTAAGAAAACCTTGAGGGAGCCGAGGTGCATTCTTAATCCTTGTGAGAATGTGCATATGTACGGAGTTCGGTGCTGGATTCTGGACAGGCTTCACGGACACCTCAAAAAGGAACTCAGCACAGGAGGCGTAGTCTTGAAGTCAGACCTAATATGTGATGCGAGGGTTCAAGATGTTGGAAAGCAAGAAAGCTTTCAAGATGGTTCCGTACCAATAGCCCAGCATGCGGAGACTTCGCAAGCAATCCCACGTGCAAGCTCAAACTAGGGTCTTGGTTTCTGAGGAAGTGTTTCCGTGTTCTCCATCAGTTTCTTGTCTTGACAGTAGATTCAGATGAAGAGGGCTGGAGTTTTCAAGACAAGGCATGATTGCTTTCCTTTCAGAAATACTGGTAGCATGGAGTCAAGAAGCGTGTGTTCCGAGGTGCGACCCAGCAGGTGCTGTGTTCCAGGAGACCTTGCTGGGGCTGCCACCACGAGACCAGGAGGCTCAGCATATGGCGGCAGTCTTCTTTGAAGTCCAGCTGTGGTCTGCCATGGGATTTCAATGTTTTTGCCCGTCCAATTGGATGCACTATTGTTCGGAGGTGTAGTTTCTCGCCTAGGTTGAACTGGCATCGAGAAATAAATTTAGGCAGCCTGATGTTGGCTCTAGTCCTCCCAACGTGCACGCTGTTGGAGAAGGGGATCGAAAGATTGTCTAGTTTTAGCAGTACCTCTATTCATTTTTAAGGTCCGCTAGCTTCCACGCGTTGAGCTCCGGCGTCCGAACTGCGAGCAGCTAGCAACGACATGGACTTTGATTCCTGCATTAGTCACTAGTCTCAAGACACATGATGGTGGCATTGCTGCTTGTATGAGAGTGCTTGCAGGCAGGTGTGCCTGTTTGTGCTGTAGACACTACGATGCATTCTGTACCTGGTAGTTGACGGGTCACCGGGGAAGGCATTGATGCAGATGTCGCACCGGTCGTCATAACGTCGCCCGTGCTCTCGCCGGTTTTTGCACTCTGCCACATGTGGTGTGGCTTGTCGCTCATCACGTCGCGATCAAGCCTACATGTGCGTCCCTCCACTTCCTCTCTTGTTTTTGTTCACTGGATTTGTTCGCTGACATCGATACTTTTGAGCATTTGACAGTGGTTTCGCCGTCTCAATCAGCGCCCGAGACTGATCTGTCAGGTTGGGCGACACGTGGTGCGGGCAAAGTAAGCTCCCTCCTCCAATGATCACAACAATTGCACGAAACAAGACGCTTCTCACTCTGTTCTCGCTTGAGCCGACGGAGATGTTCTCTTACCATTTGCAATCCAGCGTCTGCAGGCGCTGTCTGGACAGTAGATCTTAGCTTCCTAGATTGCCTGGACTATGCTACTCGCAACTTTGACTCAAGCCATGTCAACTCCACAAGATTGCCGATGCTGTGACGCAGGCCCATACAGAAGGCGGAAAGGTGTTGCTGTCAATAAATGAAGCTTGAATGTACAAAGCATGGCAGATGTGCATCATTCACATATGCCACTATGATCGTGTTGTTGCAGCACTCGAGGCGCGCATGATGTTTGCTGTTTACTGGCCCACGCGCCACCCGCGCAGTAGCAAACTCACGACGATAGCTGATATGAAATGATATGGTCGGGGTCAGCTCAAGTGGCCCAGACATTGCTGAGGAGGACGCAGCCAGCAAACATGAAGTGCGCTGAAAAGAATCGACCTGAAAAATGCAATCGTCCAAGAAGGCAATTTTGGACAGCTCAAGTGACAAGTGTTCTTCCTCAGCTTTCAGCAAGCTCTCGTGCAGGGACTGATCTTCGCTGGCACTGCCAATCTGGTTGCCCTTCGTTGGCTGCTGCTGCTGGGTGCCAACCCAAAGGACAGCCAATATAACATGTTGAGGGTAGAAGGGGGGTGTAAGTCCTTCTCAGTGTGAAAAAGCCAGTGCTAGTAGAAGTATTCCCGCTGTTTTTGCATGTCCATGAGGCCTTGGTTCCCAGCATTGGGTATCCGCACCGTTGGAAAGCGAGCCGGCGTTGCAAGGCACTGTGTATTTACAAGCTTCCTGTGTCTCAGGCCCGCGACCGAAATGGCACAACTTTGCTGCATGCGGCCTGTCGCAGTGGCAGCTTCCTGGTTGCTCAGGTGGGGAGTCGCAGGCTGCAAGATCTTGAGCAAACGTCCTAGCAAAGTTACACGGAGGCAGAAAATCAGATTGTAGAGCATAACATTCCTCCTAGCAGCAGCAAGCCAAATGAAGAGAGGATGTGCCTGTTCTGTAGAAGCTCAGCATGCCTGCTTACTCATCCCAAGTAAATGTTCTCGTGCGGTATGCGCAGTTATTCATCTTGGCTTCGCTGTTTTTACGCTTGTTTTGCAACCTCCCATTGAATCAGTTAACATGCCTAGTCACAAGACCTGCTGAATACGATACCTGGAAACGTGCTGCTGAACTGGCGCGACTCGTTACCTTCCGAAACATCAGGAGCTGCTAAGACGAGAGCTACCGCTGGATGCGACAGATTCAGCAGGCTGGACGCTGCGGCCCAAGAGCCATTGCTGCAGCAAGAAGAACACATTCACGTCCTTGGCTTGATGCAGCAATCTGGGAGTGCGCCATGTGCGCCCGTCTAAGCCTTGAAGCCGGCATAGCCGCTGCGCAGCTTCTAGGCCGTTGCATGTAGCCGCCATGATGGGCCGCCCAGGGCTGAGCAAAAGAAGCCGCTGGTACTGTCATTTGTGGTCAAACTTTGAGATGTTTGACCCACATCTGCTGAGGACGTGAGCTGACTCAGCTTCTTTTGCAGGTCCCAGCAGTGGGTCCCTTTTAGTATTCTCCAGTCACACTGCGACTTTCACAATTCGATGGCAAGTACATCTCGCCATGAAAGCTACATCACCCTACCACCTCATCCTGACTCGATCTCTAAGAGGCGCAGATCAACCCGCACGTTCAGAACAAGCGCGGGGCAACGCCACTGGACTTGTGCAGCGATGTCTCAACACGAGAGGCATCTTGCTTTGTCCTTGCAATGGGTTCAGTAAGACCTGGAATTGGCCGAACAAGATGCTGGTCTTTCTCGAATGAGAGGCATTACGCACCTTCGCCCTGAAAGTGCCTGAAGTTGCCTCGCGGATGAACTCGGTCGAGGACAACGCCGGGCGCAAAACATCAAGTTCCCCTGTGAGAAGCAAACAAATTGAATGTGCTTCTCAGTGTGGTAATGCCTCACTGGGGCCAACTTTCGCATATTGCATATCCGTGGCCTGCAGTGCAGGAGTTTCAGAGACTAACTCGAGTGCAAGGCAAGCCTCTTTCCACTACTCTGCGGTGATAGTTTCATTTTGCGGTGCAGGTGAAGTGGGTGAAGACCCAACGGCCACATGTGAGCCCTTCTTCGTTCCTCGGCAGCCTGTCTTCGAAGATGAGGCTGAGACGGTTCTTGTGCAATGGATGGCTCTTTAGGATGGCTCTTTCAGCATCTTGCGCCATGTGAAGGCTCACTATAAAGTGCTGGTCAGCATCGGCCTTGAGATGCTTGTTCCTGAGTTATTGAAGTCAAGGGTTTGTGTGGTAATGTTCAACTCTGAAGTCAATTTGGGGAGGGTTAGGGGGGCGTGGGTTTTCTTGCTTCCAGGGCCCACAAGAGTGCTGCGCACGCGCTGGCCTTCTTCGTGGCCACAGGCAGACTGCAGAGTCACGGAGTCCCCAGTGGACACCCCTTCAAAAAATCAGGCTAGGAGGATTCTGATCTTGTTCTGAGTCACTGTAAGCCAGTGGCATCAATTTTAGACATGCAGGTTTCTCATGCTGCGTCAATTTCTAAGCTCTGCGCTGTGCTGGTTCGTTTGCTTATGCCTGTTCTGGCTCTTCACATTCCTGGCAGTTGCAAGAAGTAGGTTAGACACATTCTTCCAAATTTGGGTCTAACCCTTGTACCGTAAAAGCCGCCAGTTTTGACGCGATACAAGAAGCAATACATGGAACCGCCATGGGCCATGTGCACGGTTTGCAGCCAGATGAACATCTCCTCCGCGCAAAGTCGGAATCGAGGTCATCCTTGAGATTGAGCAGAATATGTGGCTTTTTGTTGTCTGTGATCTGCAACTTTGCCCTACGAAAAAATTGAGCATTGCTTGGTTCCTTGCCTAGCTGCTGTCTAGTTGGAATCTGACAGGCTGGCTGTGTTGTCCCATCTTTCGCAGCCTTCTGGTCAGGAGCTGGTTCCCTGCATGGCCATTAAGACGGTCCCTGCAACCACCAGGCCAGGATCGTGCTCGGAACCTGCGGCTAGGGGTGGATAGCCTTGAGATACCACAGCTTGTCTTAAAGCAAACTAATTGGAGCATATCCCGGGATGGCAAGGCTCTTCACCTTCGGATGCGGCACGCTTGGCGAACTTGGATATGCAACCTGGAGGGCATTAAGTAGCCGAGCCATAGCAAACTATGATGAGCCATTACAAAGAGAGATTTCAGGATTCCTTCCTTGTGGCGCGTCAAGTCTCTGCGGTCGTTGAACGTCCTCTGATGGTAACATAGCATGCAATCCAGAGCCCAGGAGCGGGGCATCGATCTCTCTTGCCGACCAGAGGCTCCCGCAAGGCTCTTGACAAGACTTGCTCCGTTGGTGGCAATTAGCCAGGCAGTTCCTGTGAGCTTTCTTGCAGAGTCGGGGGAAGAGGCGCTGGCGATCTGAAGCAGGGTGCAAGTCACAAGCGTTCTGAATCGTTGCAGTGACCTATGATCTGTTTTTGAACTGTTGGATGCTGTGCTGGATGGTGATCACAGGCGGACGTATCTTCCGTAGCCCTGGGAAACGACCATTCTCTGGCCCTGGTGAAGGGCAAGGTCTATCGGCCAGACTCCAAGTGACAAGGTTGTTTGGTACTCTCGCACTGTGAAGGATATCTCATTTCGGAGTAGCATCAACCAAACATTTCTCAAAATTTCCTCCTGAGGTGGGGCCTACTGTGCAATCCTTCAAGGCATGAGTTATACCACCAGTTAAGCAAAGCAGTGAGGCCGTTGCACCATCTTGTCATAACCTGCTTGCCAGGTGGAAGTCACCCGCTGACCGCTCGCAAGGCTAGTGAAGCCCGGTCACGCCAACAGTCATGTGGCTTTTTGCCCACATTGTGCTTGTTGAGCAATTCCCAGGTCTAGGTTGCAAGTAGGCATCTCTGCAGGTTTGTGCGACTTGTGTGCAGGCTCGCGTTCGGAAACCTCAGAGGCTGGCGCGTTAGATTTCCTCAGTCGCAAAAATTTACACCCCAAGTGGATATCTTCTGGATCTAGCATGGTTCGTTAGCTTCTCGTCAAACTCGTAAATCTAATTGTTGGTTGCGGGCGCCTCTTAAAACATGCGCATAGATATTTGGGAAGTGGTTGCTAACTCCAGAACACAGAATTGGCTGACTTCGGAGCTTTTTGTGTCGCGTGTCTTCTCGTTATGTTGTACGTTGATTCCCAACCTTGTTAACGTACCCAGGCTGGCCCCGGTAGGACCTGTCCCTGCGTTTTTCTGGTGTCATGGATTGCCCTTCTTGCTGGAGCCCGGCTAGGTTAGCGAATCTCCTGACACGGTTTAGTTTAGAAACAACGAAATGAAACTACGTGGCGGCGGGTGGGTTTTAGAAATTGCGTTTCTACGGCTGGTTGCTGCTATGCTGGGGCGGGGTCGGGTAATTGCAAATGATTCTAAATCATTGCATAACCACGGTTTCGTAAGCATTTCAGGCCAGGGGCAAAGAAAAAGAAAAAACAACAAACGAGTCTGTGGCCATGGCGCTGGGATGCGCTGGGTCGCGTTGAGCTTGCGGGGCTGTGAGGCGTGGGCATACTATGATTCCCTGTCCGAGTCTTGCAAAAGAGATTGATGCAAAGTTCCCACCGCAAGTGCCTCCCCCGAGAGAGGAGCCGCTGGCTCCAGCGGAGCCGGCGTCAAATGCGAGCTTCTATCACAATCCAAAGCTGCAATTGAAGAAATCCATCGAAACGGAGTAGAAAACAGATTAGCTATGAAACGTGGGGGGGCCCACAGTTAGATGAAAAGGCTGGTTGGACTTGGGTAGTCCCGCGCTTCGTAGCATGCTGTTTCTTTCAACTCGCCTCAGGGTGAAGCAGAAGCAATATCTGGGTCCATCGATCCAACACCGTCTCTCCTAGAACGTCCTGGCCCCAGTATGGAAGTTGCGTGCTGTCTCAACGTTTGATGTCGGACGTGTGCGAATAATGCTCTTCCTGGCTTCTTTAGGGTCCTTGCAGTAGCGACCCTCCCCTCTCTGCTATTCGCAATGTCGCCCTCATCGGTGCCACAGGCTCAGCGTGAAAGCCATCGAGCTCGTAAAAGCTTTCGGCATGGCGCAGCCTCCAAGCCACCGGTGGCACGGGCAGAGGCAGTCGAAGGATCCTTGCGTGTCCTTGGTCTTGGTGGCCTTGTGTGCACGGTTTCAGTCGACATGGCGGCGACAGTGGCTGAAGCCCAAAAGGTCATTGCCAAGTCGGCTGGAATCCCTGCATGTGAACAACACCTCATTAGCAAAGACCGTCGCCTCTCAGCCAATGAGACCTTGGGCGACGCTCTGGGGAAGGACGAAGAGGTGACGCTGATCAGGTGCGACGCGAAGGCAATGGCAATCAAGTCGGCAATGCGCACTGGATCACTGGCACTAGAACGTGCGAGACGCTTGAGAGTGCAGTGTTCTAGCAACAGATGAGAAACGGAGAATGACCCGGGATGAGCTGGTTTAGAGAAAATTCCGGAACCTTTTCTCCTTGGTCGATGCGATGTACCCGGAGAACTGCACATTAGGCTTTTGAATTCAGGTCTGCTCAGCTCACCGTGCCGGGGTTGTGTGCAGGCACCCGCCCCAGGCCCGTGTGCGCTGCATGTTGTGCACAATTCGAGATGATAGCTGCTCGTCATGCCACGGTCTGGAGTTCGGAACTTCTGCCTCAGACCACTGGCTGCGAGATCATCCAGGACAGATAACAGACTTTGGAGGTTGCGCAGCCTTTTTAAAGAACAGTTGTATTTGCCTTTGGTGCAGGCTGATTTTGTCTTTAGATTACTGTGATCATACTGGTGCGCGTCCTCCTACTTAGAAGCCAGCCTTGTGATGCTATGTCTGGCTGACAGCACTCTTGATAATTGCGCTCCAGCTGTGAATCGCTCATTTGCAGCCCATGAAGCCTAGCCGGGCTCAGCTATGGCGAAGCCTACGCTTGATGCCCCTGAAATCAACTCCTGCGTGCTGCCTGAGTCTCATCACATCAACGTGTTAATGAAGTGGATAGAAGTCTGTGACATGTGAGAGGTGTTGCTTATCCAGCTATGATTGTCCCCAATACAGAGTCAGATTGTATCGTGCTTTTGGGATCTTTTGGGTATACTAGTGCTGCATAAGAAAGGCCTCATGAAATTTGGTTCAACCGCCAAAGAACACTCATATGATGTTGCTGCTTAGGACTCAGGGAGGCGCCTTTTGCCATCAGGGCTGAGCCGCTGCATTGATTATGCCTGCTGTACTAGTCATGTCATCAAGACCGGCCAGCACCTCGAATTCGCGGCGCATCTCTTTATGCATGTGCTGAGAGCTGCAAAAGGGCCGCGTTTTTTGTGGCAAGCTGCGTCAATGTCTGACACACGGGATCTGCAACTTTCAGGTGTATCAACCGCAGAGGATACATTGAGACCCCTGGCAGCTCTTTCAGCATTTCTGACGCTGGACTATGCTCATCTGTTCGATGTTATGTCTTGTACGTAGAAGATGAGGCAATTGCTGCGGGTGGCTCCAGCTCCTTCGTTCTCAGTGACATCGGAGAGGCTCCGACGTCCGAGCCAGCTGTGGCAGATCATTGCAGTGCTACTCTGTAGCCCCCTTGTTTTGGATTTGCCGCTGTAGCATGTAGTTCTCCCGTCTCGGATCCTGCCACGCTGCAGTTGCAAAGCTCTGCCGAGATCTTGACAGGTGTTCGTCTATGGCCAGCTGCGCTCTCTGAGTGGTGACCCGTGCTCGCTGCGCCACCTCTGGGGTGCTTCCAGCCGCAAGTAGTTGCTTTGAAGGGCAATTTGTAAATGCTTTCTGCGATCGCTGGCGTGTCTGCCAACGGCGGTTGGGCTGGCAGGACGATGTTGTTTGCAACAACAGGGGAAGTGCGGGTATGCAGACTGTTTGTCAGGAAGCTTTGGTCTATTGTAGGGTCCTGAATCTTGCCTTACTGGATTCAATGCAAGGCTGATTCAGGGCCGGTTCCTTCAATGGTGGTAGTTTACTTTGAGCTTCCTGTTGTAGCTGGTGTTGGCTGACATGCCGTAGGTTGCTTTTTCATATGCATAGCACACTTGGCTGAGTTGCTCACACCCTCAACATCCCTCAACTGATCTCATAGTTTCTCAGAGTCCAAGGTTGTCCCCGAAGAAGTTTGGAGCTTCAGGCATCGAACTCTGCCTTTGCTCTAGACTGAAGTTTGGAGCAACACTCGCGTATGTGAAGCTGCAGGTTCTGCAGATTGCAGCAGGATGGCGACATGTGTTGATGCTGACAAAGGCCGGGAGGTCTGAGGCAGTTCGTAGGCCAAAAAGCTGAATTGTGGCGAGCGTTCAACTTCAATAGCATAGATTCTTCGTAGATACGGACTTACTTTGGTCATGCCGCCAAATACACAGGAAGCTTTGCAATA